TGGGTGTGGGTGAGTGTGGGTGTGGGTGTTGGATGGGTGTGGGTGTGGGTGAGTGTGGGTGTGGGTGTTGGATGGGTGTGGGTGTCGTTGAAGAGAAGATCCACACTCACACCCACACTCACACCCACACCCACACCCACACCCACACCCACACCCACACCCACACGCACTCCACCCCCACCCACACCGATCGACACGCACACCCTCATAAATGAATTGAATTCTGTTGTTCAATTAAAATTTAAAATATCCCTGATGATAATCCTCATCAATGTTTGAAGTTATTAAGTTAGAGACACCATTTTTATTTTGCCTCGAATAAGATCAAAGGGAAATCGCACTCAATCGAATGTTTCTTTTTTTATCATTTCTCTTCGATTTTGACATTAGTTTTCCACGTTTTTCCCTTATTCTTTGATGTTTCGGTACTTGGACCATTTGATGTAGATGCCTTGTTCGATTGGCCTTTGACTTGGTTTAATTGTTGAATTCCAATTCTTATTTCTTCAAGTACACGCGTCTGATTATCTTTCTTTTCATCATCGTCAGAATTCTCTTCTTTGTCGACTTCTCGTGCACAAGTTTCGAGCCATCTTTTCTTAGTTTTTTTCCACCATTTGCATTCCTTTTTCAGATCCTTTTGATTCGAATTCCTAGGAAGCATAAAACAACATCCACAAATTCGATTTAGAATCCAAAGTGATTGATATTTGAAAATTTCGAAGTCAGCAGCAAGTTCATAAAGTTTATCGAGACGAGAATCTTTAGCAGAAGTCAACAATGGTTCAACGTCACCAACAGCCAGACCTATGTTTCATAGACATAAAATATTTTTTATGAGAAAGCACTAGAATTTGCCATTACCGATAAGTAGATTGGTCACAAGAACAACCATTGCGATGGCCAACAAAATAAGTATAATAAGGCTCATTTCTTTGTAATATGCTGTTTTGTCATTCTTATACATGAAATCGTTGAATCCGATTTCACCAGTACTCATAGTAACTAAATAAATATCGAATAAAAACCTCATTTTGCAATGAAGAATACTTTGAAACAGTACCTATTTTAATAAGACCAAGGAAAAAGTTTTCAAATTCATCAAAATTTGGAAAAAGCATATAAAATGCTGATCCGAACGCGACAATCAAAACCATCAACACTGGGGAAAAAAGGAAAAATCGTGTTAACATAACTCGCATCATAATAACGTACACGCCAAGTACTGGGATAAACTGAATATAATAGAATAGTGCTATATAACCAAGAAATAAGCCACATGCACCGATTTGCCATTGCGTTGGACAACGCATTTTAACTTTCGTTTGATAACTGTAGTCAAACATAAAATAATAGTTGAATACAAGTGCAATAATCTCGAGAAAAAACGTCAATGTCTTCCACCAAGCAACACATACGTAGGCGATTATAGCCCAAATATTCTTAAAAACAAGGAATACAAATAGAATATATAATACTATTCGAAGTCCTTTATCAATTGTGTCTTTTGAATCTATGCTACCAAGTGCTTGAGTGACATTCCTGCATAGACTCGAATCAAATTCGTAACCGGTCAAATTGTAATAGTATCGAGGATGTTTTACTCGTATCACAGTTGCTGTAAATATGAGAAGAAAAGCAAGGTAAAGCAGACATGAAATAATAAAGACACCTGTAATGAACCAATTAAACTTCGATCGAAGAAGACTTTGACTTAACGGATGTGACATTAGTTTATATCGATCGTGAACAGCCATTAGAAAGAGTGGATGATTCATAACCAGAGTATTGAAATTCAATGTATACGGTTCATCATGATTCAAAGTTTTAGCATTGTCATTGATTCCGTCAGGTAGTTCTAACCAAGTTTCCGCATGTTCTAGAAAGAAATAAAAACAATGAGTTAATCAGACCATTTGTTTAGCCATACGCATCTTTCTTACTTTTATGCCATTTGAAAATAGAAAACTGATCTTCTAAGAATTCATAATTGTAAATTTTTCGATGTAATTTTAATCGCTCACCACCAAGCACTGTTGTACATCGATCGAGAACTTTGTAAGCCATATCGGGCATGGAAGTGATAAGCTTTCGCATTGGTGTGTCAGCCTTACGACTCTTAAGGCATCGCCGACGACAACAGTATGTGCAAGAATTTAAACATTTACGACAACTTCTAGAGCAATCTTCATTAACGTCATTACTCATCGAATGCAACCCAATGCAATCATAACTAACGAGTTGTGCATTACGCAACAATGAGAATAGTTCGGCATGTGCAACAAGATATTCAACAACATCCTCGTTTTTTTCTTCGATGGCCACTTCGAGACAATTGTAACCTTGAACATTTGTGTGTAACATATCGACACCATGCTCCAAAAGACATTTCACTAACGACGGCGAGCCATATCTGCACGCTATCAATAATGGTGTCTCTTGTCGAACATTCAGTGGATTGAGTTCGACTCGATGATTCACAAGAAGTTGAATACATTCTATACGATTGTTGTGTTCTTCTTCATCTGAATCGGACCAGCGTGCAGCTTCATGTAGTGGAGTATGATCGTTCATGTCGCAAGCATTGACATCAACTTCGTGTTGAAGGAATAGTTTCACAATATTTGCATCACCTATAAATGAATAAGAATAATCAAAAGTTAGTTTCTATTTTCAATTGTATACCCCATGTAAAAAAATGACCGGAAAAATCAGATTTTAATCGATTTTTTTCTGATTAATAATCGATTAAAATGGCACGATTTTAATCAGAATTTAATCCGATTTCTTGACTTTTAATAAATTTTAATCGATTATTCGATTTTTAATCGAGTTTATTTGATTTTAGTCAAATTTTAATCGATTTTAATCGATTAAAATCGATTATTTGATCTTTAATCGATTTTAATCTAAGATATCGGCATTATGGCTTACACGAGTGAGTGTGAATCGATATCATATATAGGAATGTGTCAAGGATAGAGCTAGTACTACACTTATCATTTGTTGACGCAAGGAGTCAGAAAAAATAACAAAAAATTCAAGTTTCTAAGTGAAAACCGGAGAAAAACGCGTTTTTTTTAGTCACAGCAATTAAAATCGATTAAAAATCGAATAATCGATTAAAATTTATTAAAAATCAAGAAATCGGGTTAAAATCTGATTAAAATCGTGCCATTTTAATCGATTATTAATCAGAAAAAAGTCGATTAAAATCTGATTTTTCCGATCATTTTTTTACATGGGACTCGAGAACCTCGGATGTGATCACTTTTATCTGAGAAATATTTGACAATATCGAGACGAGATTACTAACTTCAAAACTAATTTTCATGACTTTATACCTACTGACGTTTTCAAAAAATGTCTTCACCTCTTAATGCTGCCATATGCAAACTGGTACGTAACTGTTGATCGATTTCATGGATCAACTTTTTAGGATCGTCCGATAATTCGAGCATTCTTTTTACAATTTCCTCGCGTCCATATTCGACAGCTTCATGAAAAGCTGTTAATCCATTATTGTTTTTCTTTGCTAATGCTGTCTGAAGTGCTTCTGAACTGTTGGTCTTTGAACTTGACACTGATTTTGAAAAATATTGAAGAACTGGTGGTAATAATCCATTAGCCATATCGATATTATTTACTCGAGCGCAAATATGTAATGGTGTATCACCCATGATATCACTAAGTAGTAAATTTGAATATTGATGCTTTTCCGCTGCGTTCAATAGTAAATCAGTGATCCCGTTAACCTTAGTTTCGGCACAGATATGAAAAACTGTTCGTCTCAATTCCAAACTGCGCTTCTCAAAAACTGTCTTATCACAAAATGGACTTGCGATAAGTGCTTTGACACACTCGATTCGTCGATATTTCACAGCAGTCATCAACGGTGTAAATCCATCATTCTTGTATTGGTGAGACATTGTATCTTTATTAATAAGAAAACTGGTAATATCTTCGTCCGAAAGCAATTTATGTCCACAAGGCTGACGACAAGCCCAATAAAGTTGCATTTGAGCATTGTATGCCTTTGGAGCAAGATAAGACAAGACACGATTACCACGATGACGCGCAGCGGCAAGAATGAACTGGTTAACAGCATGATTTGGATCAGTCGACATCGGTGCATTGTTCAAACATGTTTCCACAATATCAAAGTGATCATATTCAGCGGCCACATCAACTGGAGTTTTCTTGTCGAGTGTTTTCATATTCAACCACTTAGGATCAAACGGAAAATTTTTTAACATTTCACTATTGCCAAAGCGACAGGCATAATGAATAGGAGTTGCTCCTTGAACATCAGGTACCTATGATATTTGTTGTTTTTACCATCGATTTCGATACACATCAAAGAGTAATAAATAGAATATAAAACTTACATCAAGCGTGGCCCTATTTTTGATCAGTTTGACAATGGCAACGTGATTTCTCATCACAGCATGATGTAACGGTGTGCGTTGTTGATTGTCTTGAATATTGATTCTTATTTTGCCATGTCGTAATAAAATGTGCAAAATTGAATCCTGAAAACATGGGTAAAAGAAAATGAAAAAAAAATACTTGTCAAGTATGTGTAAAATACTTCTTGTTCGCTATTGTTTGTTTCATTCAATTCTCGTTCGATATCGGATGAACTTGCAGCAAGATGAAGCGGTGCTTGACCACCACAACCCAATAAATTGACGTCTCACAAAGACGAAGAACAAAAGTGAAAGCTAATCATAGACAGAAAAACGCTAATTGTGATCCTTACCACACTTGTATTCATTCAACAATTTTTTAAAGACATATTTATTATTCGCTTGAACAGCGTAATGAATTGCTGCATAATTGTCTTCTTCATCGAGTTTTTCAAGCACATTCTTTGGATCTCTTTTGTGCTGTAGTCGTTTGAGAAGATTTTCAATGCTTTCCCATCGACTTTTCCATTTCTCATCCTCTTGACAAAAAGCGATCTATACGCATCATAATCAAATTCAAGAATACTTTTACACTAGTAAACTGACTTGTTTTAACATAGTATGGATTGTTTGTGTTGTATTTCCCTCCTGAATTTGATCACTTACGGGAATAGTATCGAATCCTTCGTCGATCGGAATACTGGAGTTTTGTGATGTATTAGGAGCTTGTCCCCGCAACTTTCTTTTGTTCAACGACGGATTCATGTGTATGTTAATTTCGAATATGTATTTAGTGAAACACAATCTAAAAGGAGTGTTGAAGTATATGGGATACACATTTGGATTCCCACTCCAAGGAACTATTGTAGATAGTGTTTGACTAACATCTAATTAAAATATATGTAAAATTTTCTTATTACAGTTCTATAGTGTAAAGTAAGCAATCATAAAGAAATGTGTCCCAAAGCGCATCAAATAGAGGGTGTGCGTGTGGGTGTGGGCGTGAATATGAGAAGTGGAGTGTGAGTGGGTGTGGGTGTGGATGTGGATGTGGGCGTGGGTGGATGTGGGTGTGGGTGTGGGCGTGGGTGGATGTGGGTGTGTGGGTGGGTATGGGTGTGGGGTGTGCGTGTGGGTGTAGGTGGGCATTGTGGGTATGGGTGGGATGTGGATGTGGAGTGTGGGTGTGGGTGTGGGTGTGAGTTTGGGTCTCTTCGTTGACACATCCACCATGCCCACACCTCCCATACAGCTAAGCATTATCCCCTTTTACTCAGCACTTTGCCCTCTAGCTGAGCACTACGTCGTATCGTCCAACGCCATGCCTTCCTACCTAGCAATACGGTAACTAGAAACTAACTGTTAAAAGTTACATCTTTTTAAAGGGTCAACGAGTTCATTTTAAAGATTGGTCGAAGTTTCTTTAGGACTTATTACTCTACCAAAAACAACTCCGAAATTTCGGACTGGGCCAAAAGTCGGCCCTGAAAATTCCATGGGGCGATATTATGGACTCTTGGCTCTGACTTTAATTTCTGCAAATTGGTTTCTGATCAGAACCTCTTTCCCAATTACTCTCAGCTGCACTAAAATTTTTCAAAAGTTTCGGTCTTCTTTCTAATATGTGGTCGCATTACATTTCCACTCACAAAATAAATAAATTTTGGTCTCATATCATTTTAACAACTGAAATTAACGAATGTACATTAAAAAAATTGGTACGATACCGAACCAAAAAAGGTACTTTGAACGAAAAAAAGGTTTCGTACATAGTACGGAACCTAAAAAGGTTTCGAATTCGTTGCAATTCTCTGAACCATTTTAGGTTCGGTACCGACCACTTCGAAAAACTTGAAAAAGTGTCCTGAGTCAATGACAATCAATTTTAGTCACCCAAAGTTTTGTACAAAACCCTTCGAGGGTTTCGTATTGTCTTTCTAAATGGTTCCGTAATCATACAAATTTTTTTGCAGCGTACCGAACCATTTAGGAAGACAATACGAAACCCTCGAAAGGTTTCGTACAAAACTTTGGGTGACTAAAATTGATTGTCATTGACTCAGGACACTTTTTCAAGTTTTTCGAAGTGGTCTGTACCGAACTTAAAATGGTTCAGAGAATTGCAACGAATTCGAAACCTTTCTAGGTTCCGTACTATGTACGAAACCTTTTTTTCGTTCAAAGTACCTTTTTGGTTCGGTATCGTACCATTTTTTTCAGTGTAGTGGGAGAATAAATTAGGTAGATTGTTCGCCACGACTTAGCGCTAATTATTTAAAATTCAGAATAGTTTCGTTTGCTATTAGTTTCTTCTTCGTAACTTACTCACTACCATCAAGTAATCGACGCCGAAATGTTGTGGGTAAATTAAATAGTATGCTGTTGTTGATAGGACTTCTTTATGCGTCCTACACTGTTTCTATTTTCCCTCAAATGACATATTTCTTACTTTCGCAGCACAGTCACATTTTCTGTTCTGTCTTTCTTTCTCTTGCCTTCTTTTCGTCGTTTCTTCTTTAAATTCTGCCCAAATGTGCACACCATTGACAAGGTTTGTACATAACGATAGTAGAACATTCACAGAAAGTGTGGACAAAGGATGATAACAAACAAGAAAAGGAAAATCATGTCTGTTCAATTAAATGACGAGCGATGCGACACTTTATTGTATATTTGTGTTCGATAACTCGATTAACGATAGTAAATACAGCACATCTGTTTTAAATAGGAAGTCGGGTGTGGGTGTGGGTGTGGATATAAGGAGTGGAGTCTGAGTGGGTGTGGATATGAGGAGTGGAGTGTGAGCGCGTGTGGGTGTGGGTGTGGGCGTGGGTGGGTGTGGGGATGTGGGTGGGTGTCGGTCTGGGTGTGGATATGAGGAGTGGAGTGTGAGAGGGTGTGGGTGTGGATATGAGGAGTGGAGTGTGAGCGGGTGTGGGTGTGGATATGAGGAGTGGAATGTGAGCGGGTGTGGGTATGGATGCTGGTGGGGGTGTGGGTGTGGGCGTGGGCGTGGTTGGATGTAGGGGTGTGGGTGGGTGTGGGTGTGGGGTGTGCGTGTGGGCATTGTGGGTATCGGTGGGATATGGGTGTGAGTTCGGGTCTCTTCGTCGACACATCCACCATGCCCACACCCGCCATACAGCTAAGCATTATCCCCTTTTACTCAGCACTTTGCCCTCTAGCTGAGCACTACGCCGTACCGTCTAATCGACGCCGAAATGTTGTGGGTAAATTAAATAGTATGTTGTTGTTGATAGGACTTCTTTATGCGTCGTACACTGTTTCTATTTTCCCTCAAATGACATATTTTTTACTTTCGCAGCACAGTCACATTTTCTGTTCTGTCTTTCTTTGTTTTGCCTCCTTTTCGCCGTTTCTTCTTTAAATTCTGTCCAAATGTGCACACCGTTGACAAGGTTTGTACATAACGACAGTAGAGCATTCACAGAAAGTGTGGACAAAGGGTGATAACAAACAAGAAAAGGAAAATCATGTTTGTTCAATTAAATGACGAGTGATGCAACACTTGGGTGTGGGTGTGTGTGTGTGCATGAAGATAAGACAGTCATACCCACACCCATACCCACACAACCACACACATCCACACCCACACCCACACCTATTTAACACTTTTGATGAAACAGCAATGCCTTTCATAATCTCCTACTAATTGATGAACATCACCAATATTATTGTATATAATAAGATGTGGATAAGGGGTAATTGAGGTTGAAGAAAGGAGAAACATCTGAAGGGTGTTTCCACGCAGCTCCGCCCACTTTTTACAGAACATTCTGCCGACAAGATTTCACTATGCTAGTTTGTAGCCCTTATCGACTTGTGTAGGAATTGATATTTATTTTTGGTTCAAATCATGCGCTAACTCCAGTAGGGCAGGCTGAAAAGTCGATTTTTTTCGAAAATTGACCCCCAAAATCAGTCTTTTTTATTTTTCGTGAACATCCTTTAGGAATTTGGATTTCACCGTTGGGTAAAGCATAAACAGTTGTCTATATAGAATAAATTTGAAAACTATATCTGAAGAATTCATTGTTTGGGAGCATTTGCAAAATTGAGAAAAATGACACTTCATGTTAAAATTGTTATGCTGATAAAACTTATACAACCGGTTAAAGACCCTAACATATTATGGTTCAAATGAAGCTTATACTATGCT